TTAAAACATAACTAAATTTGTATTTTTTTCAAGTGGGATGTATAAAGACACACCCACGTTCGTTTAGATCTATAAAGAGGTTAAACTCCTAACTATCCTACTGTCTGTCGATACATTTAGTTTTGGCATTGCACTAGTCATGTCTTCTTTGACTGTCCATGACGTTAAAATACTAAATCCCTTGGATGTGTTTTAGTTGATTTTAGTCTCTGATGCATGATTTTTTATTATTAATTGTTTTGGCTTTTAACTAGCTGTCAGTAACTGCGAGTACTCTCAAATCGTACTTTCTTGTTTATTTGACCTGTTGATACTAATTGTATTGCTTTTTTTGTTATTTAATGTTATTCAGGGTTATATCTGGTCTATATACCAGCTTTGATAAGTGTTTGGTATAACTATAAATTTTCACTTCGTACTATGAACATCAAAATTATTTATTTTGTAATAATATTTCCTTTCTCTATTGGTACTGTACACGTATACTTAATAACAAAATTATTTTCATTTACCTGTGTTTAAAGTCATTGCAAATGGATGGTATTTTTGTTCGAGCATATTGTTTTTCTTTAATTGTTTAACATTTCTTACCGATATAACATGTTACTTTTATACTTCTTCCCTTAGTTTATTTATTTTGTATTCAAAATTATTTATTTTGTAAAAATATTTCCTTTCTCTATTGGTACTGTACAGGTATACCTAACAACAAAATTATTTTCATTTACCTGTGTTTAAAGTTATTGCAAATGGATGGTATTTTTGTTCGAGCATATTGTTTTTCTTTAATTGTTTAACATTTTTTACCGATATAACATGTTACTTTTATTATTCTTCCCTTAGTTTATTTATTTTGTATTTACATTGTGTCATAGGTCAAATTTATTTGTTCAGTGTATGTTCAATGGTGTTAATATGTCCTTTGATTGAGTTAAGCTATTTCAGTTGATATTTTATAGTGTGTCTTTCTATGTTGTGATGTTACACTATTGTTTCAGAAAAAGGGTGAAGGTTTGGTACCATTAAAACGTTTAAACCCGCTGCATTTGTTTGCACCTGTCCTAAGTCAGGAATCTGATGTTCAGTAGTTGTCGTTTATTGATGTGGTTCATAAGTGTTTCTCGTTTCTCGTTTTTTATATAGATTAGACCGTTGGTTTTCCCGTTTGAATGGTTTTACACTAGTAATTTTTTGGGGCCCTTTATAGCTTACTGTTCGGTGTGAGCCAAGGCTCCGTGTTGAAGACCGTACTGTGACCTATAATGGTTTACTTTTATAAATTTTGACTTGGATGGAGAGTTGTCTCATTGGCACTCATACCACATCTTCTTATATCTATTTACTGCAGGGTTTGTTGCTCGTGCTGTGTGGATGCAGTAGAATGTGTCCCCGTGCTTGTGGTGTATGCCCTTATATTTTTTAATTATGGGTTGTTTGCCTGTGAGAGAGCTTTCACATGTTTATATCTTTGTTCTTAATTGTCAATTATATATTATGGTGTTTGGATGTATAAATACTCATCCACGCCTGCTATTTTTATTATTGCCCCCTGCTATGGTTTTACTAAGATTTCTTACAATCTCTGTTTTTGCCCTGTGTTTGTTATATGTCAGTATTGTAATACTTAAGTCTTTACGTCGGGCCTTTTATAACAGTTTTTGTAAGATTTCTTTTACTGCTTTGCCTTTTATTTCCTATTCCGTAATTGTGATCCTTATTCATTGTTACAACCTCCGGTCTTTTTTATTTTTCATATACCCCTATTTTATTATCATGATTTTACGCAATGGAAAGAAAATTATTAACAACACAACTTCTAGGATATCCACGTGCTTAAACAAACGTATTTGTAATGCCTCTACAGCCAGATTGTTTAACAAAAATGCGCGTGGATATCCACAAATTTTCCCGTGCAATGCCAAAAAGTGACTAACCTGTTTTAGATTAACTTCACAAAATACTGTACGGTCAACAGTGAACGGGAGAGCTTTTTCGCCATCCTTTTCCTGTGACATGACCTGAAAAACTCAAAACCTTATATATGTGGTAACTTGAACCCAACCTAAGTGTGGTATTCAATATGTGGGACAGACGGGACGAGCTTATTACAAAAGAAATCAAGAACACCTTTACCGCTTTCGTAGACCTAAAAAATTCAAAAGTTTGATATATCAACATTTAGATAAGCATAATCACAATCTAAAATTTATTAAATTCCAACCACTTGAAACCGTTCAGAAACAACCAGGAGAATCACACAAGCAATTTGAAAAATCACGTGAAGTTCGCGAATTATTTTGGATAAAAAGACTTCAAACAGCTTATCCTCTCGGTCTTAATGACAAAATATTAGGACGGGGGAACATAACTAAAACTTCAATCGATGTCATTAATATTGTCGATAAACGACTTAGAAATAAAAGGTCTCATGGCAAACGCAAAAACCGTAATCAACGTATTAAACATCGTATAAATTATACACTTGCTGATCTGTTATCTATAATAAAAAATAATGGCAGACATCAAGTATTAGGCAAACTGGGTCAGATACCAATAAGTAAATTATATGCTATTTTTCTGGAGTGTGATACAATTTCTTTTTTTAGCCCAATGTATGAATACACCCGTATTATTACAGCCTTTTGTCATCATAGGCTATTTCCTAGTATCGATAAACCTGAAAATCATAAACGGCATTTTCTTAAATTAAAATATATAAATAGAGGTATTGATTTTATTAACTTATCTAGTATATTCAATGACTCTACCATCCAAAGCCAAATACCTCCATATTTTGATAATATAGAACCACCTATTATTTCGTATTCTTATAATAAAACCCAGCAGAAGTTTGATTTTTAATTATACGTCAGTTACATCAGACGTCAATATAGAAAATAATGTTCCTTCCACTTGAGATTGTGAAACATCTAGTTTTAGATATGTTCCCTATGGTCATGTCCTTACAGGAGACCTCAACATCGTCGAAGACCGTGAGGTCATAACTTTTCTTAAGAAAGGACCGAAATATCGTCCTCCATCTAAAATAGATTGGAAACAGTGTCGTCAGATCATTAAAGACGCTCTGTCTGTCTACTGTAAAAATTGGTGTAAACATGAAAAATCTGATAATAAATCTCTAGACAGTTATTTGAATAAAATTATGAATACTGTTAATATTCGTATATCTCATTTTGAAAACAATTCTGAAATTAGTAATAGGGTCCATGATATTCCCATTTCCAGAATAAAAAACAAACTCCAAGTACTCGCAAAGCGGTTTGTGTTCGTACCGGCAGACAAAGCAGCAAATAATGTAGTGGTGGTGTGACGCATATACTACACGGAAGTTCTCCAAAACGAAATTACAAATTCATCTACATTCAGGTCCGTACGCTCCACAGAGAGTCAAATTGTAAACAAGCATATCACTGCCACTACCCAGCTTAAGGCCTCTTCCGAACATTTGAAAGTCCCTACTATGTACTGGTTACCTAAATTGCACAAAAAAACCATTTAAATTCCGTTTCATCTCCGCATCTAGTAAGTGTTCTACTACTAATCTATCAGTGCTTCTAACTACCTCCCTTACTACTATCAAAGAACTTGTAAATTAACTTTTGTAATAAAGCTTATGAAAATAATGGTATTAATTATTTTTGGAGTGTTAAAAATTCTTTAGAGGTTTTAGATAAAATACATGCTTTTGATGGTCCTTTTAATTCTGTTGACAGTTATGATTTTTCTACTCTCTATACTACACTTCCACACTATCTTATCAAGAAAAAGTTTTCATATTTAATTAAATGGTCTTTTGAAAAATCTCATGTAACTCGTTTAAAGCCTTTTTCTGTAACGAAAAAGGAAAGTATGCTAGATACACTTACTGGAAATGTGAAGATATGATTGAAGCTTTAAAATTTCTCCTGGACAACATATATGTACGTTTCGGCGATAGAATGTATCGGCAGGTAGAAGGTATTCCTATGGGCACTAACTGTGCCCCTTTAATAGCAGATTTATTCCTGTATTGCTATGAATCTCAGTTTATGACCAAACTCAGTAAAGACACGTCATTGTTACATTTGGTTGATACATTCAACAATACCTTCCGTTATCTAGATGATATTTTTTCGTTAAATAATCCAGAGTTCTCTAAATATACTACCGAAATTTACCCAATAGAACTTACTTAAACTAAATCTAACATAAACAGCAGTAGTTGTCCTTTTCTGGATTTGGACATTTCAATCTCTAAAGGAAAACTCCATATGAAAATTTACGACAAAAGAGACGATTTTTCATTCCCTATAGTTAATTTTCCTTTTTTAGACGGCGATGTTCCTTTGGCTCCATCATACGGTGTATATATATCCCAACTCGTTCGTTATGCCCGTGTGTGTAGTGATGTCATAGATTTTAACGAACGTAATCAATGCATCACTGGTAAATTATTAAATCAAGGATTTCGTTACCATAAATTACGTAAAACTTTTGCTAAGTTCTTTCATAGATACAAAGATTTGATTAGTAAATTTGGCTGTACTTGTAGAAAACTGATTAAAAACGGTATTTCACATCCTAAATTTTACGGTAATATTGTACTTAAAGCGCGGAAATCACTATGTGATCCGTGTAAACTCATCGAACCTTTAAACAGGCTTATTAGTAAAGGTTATCTTACCAATGTTGTAATTAGATCTTTGAATATAGTTTACATTGGCACTAATATCGATTTTGTCATCAGCAAATTAAAACATAACTAAATTTGTATTTTTTTCAAGTGGGATGTATAAAGACACACCCACGTTCGTTTAGATCTATAAAGAGGTTAAACTCCTAACTATCCTACTGTCTGTCGATACATTTATTTTTGGCATTGCACTAGTCATGTCTTCTTTGACTGTCCATGACGTTAAAATACTAAATCCCTGTGATGTGTTTTAGTTGATTTTAGTCTCTGATGCATGATTTTTTATTATTAATTGTTTTGGCTTTTTAGGTGTAATACCACCAAATCATGGTACGTCACATCCGGTTGCATACGAAAATAGGTCGAAAAAAATATTCCCTTGAATTTGACAGTTGTAGAAAATTACCCTTGCATTTCAATACACTAAAATTTTTCTGAGTCATAAACATGTTTGTTGGGTGTCTGAAAGCATCATTCTTTTTTTATTTGGTGGTCCTATAAAATATGTTGGAAAGTTAAGGTTACATAGTTACCAAAGCTGGTAACCAGGAAATAAAAGGGTACAAATTTGGGTTGTTTACTTCCGGTGATGGTTACTTTCTTATATGCAATGAAATGTAGAGTGAAATTTTCACTGTAGTACTGGAAAGGATTAAACTTTATTCATGCTAAGTATTTCTTTAGTTGAATCAAAGGTAAATACCGTACAATTTTTTGAAAAATGCCAATTTAACAAAGACTAATAGGGGAAAATCAATGGTGGTATTACACCTATTTAGGGAAACTACACGTGCACTGATGACCTTATTGTACTTTCATTTTTAAAAATTCTTGCTAAACTAGCACATATATTGTAAACATGGACTATTCTGAATGGATTGAGACACAGAAAACACGTTTGAGGGAAAATTGCCTTGAAATGGGGGTTTACGGGTGTTTGATAAGTCAAATGGGTGGACAGACAAAGCTGTATTCAGTTTATAGTGTTAGGTTTCCTTGGGACAGAAAAAAAAGAACATTGTATGGTCACAGATTTGCCTACATGTTGCACACTGGGAAATTTGACCTTTCAGAGGAAGTTGATGTGTCTCATCTGTGTCATCAGAAGAGATGCATCAACCCTGAGCACTTATCTTACGAGCCGCCTCATATCAACCAAGACCGCCAAGTTTGTCGCGGTACACATCCAATAAGGTGTCGAAAACACAAACCCTACCAAGACTGTTTGATTTAAAATGGTAAAACAATAATGGTTGTAAAGAGAAGTAATATCTCCTCTCAGCAAACTAAATACTGTGGATTCATTAATATTCGTTGGATACCAATTTTCGTGGATTTCGTGGGCACAGGGAAACCACGAATTTAAGTGTTCAACGAATTGCAAATTTGCTGTATGATTATATGCAAACTTCTGGAAAACCACGAAATCAAATATCCACGAATATGCAAGTTTTCCTCAATCCACGAAAATTGGTACCCACGAAAATAAATGAATCCACAGTAAATGCAGAGAGATAATGGTCACATAAAACCACATGAAAATATGAAAAGCTATGTACACAAACAACATAAAATATAAAAATATAGCTTAGATGAGCACTAAACACAACCAGAACTGCATTGCACTGATCAAATCATAACACTGAGTTCACCTGTATCAAACCTGTACAGGTAACAATTACCTGATATTGATTTACTATCAAACAGTACAGGTAGAAATTTAATCTTGAACTTCATCCGACAAACTTTTAGAAGAATACTTTTTATATTTTCACGCGAGAAATAAAAGTTTAATATCAACAAAAGAATTTAGTATATCAAATATATATGAAGTAGAAAATTAATGCAGTTTGTTTAAAATAATGAACTGTATTTTCTACACTTTAATATCTATAGTTTGTATGCATTATAAAATTGAAATTGCAAAGTCCCTATCTAGCTTTAAATCCAAATTTTTAAGAAAGATTAGTAAATAGTACTCCTTAAAAAAAATTGCTATTACTATTTATGATAGGAATGGTCATTTTAAACACAAATATTGTCAGAATCCTCATTTCCTGGATCAGCAAGGCCCTTTTTATAATATTCTGCAAGAGGATAGTGAATGCTTGCATGCAATTTATAATTTCTCCTCCTACTATTTGCCCTCTTTAGTTTTGAAGATATGAGACGTTTGCGTTGAGCATTGCGAATCTCAATTTTATGTCTTTGTTTCAGTTGTTTTGCAACCAATGAACCCGGTGTAATAGTAGCACCCAGCTGAACAGAGAGTTTGATAACAGAATTGGAATATTTGTTGTTCACCATTAGCACAGCAGTATGAGCCCGACCGGGAAAGTTTCTGTGAAAAGTTACATTTTTAGGATTGCACCTACTTAGTGAACGGTTGAATCCCTCACTTTTTTGAGTTGAGGTAAGAAATCGAACTAACTCGAGGCTATTTGGACCAAGCAAGATTTTTATACACCTCCTTACCTCTTCTTGATCATCAAATGTCATCTTTAATGTACTGCCATTTGCTATATAACTTCTGATCCAACATTTTGAAGGTTCACCCCCACACACATAGGAGTTTACTTTACAAGAAATTCCACAGTAACCCTTATAACACATAATTATGGTATCAATGACATCTGGCATGTGAGCCTTCAGAAGTTGTAAGTTCCCCTTATGAACTGAAAACCCAGTATTTAACTCAGCTACACATCTAGCTTTAATATCAAGAGCAAAGCGACTCTTTTCATTTCGCTTATTAGATCCTGAGAACATGATTGCACTAAAAGTGCATTTCATAATGGCCCTTTTTAAACTTTGAGACAAATGCCTTACATCTCTGAGACTTTGAACATTATTTCCATGTACACTTTTTATCCCGGTAAATGATTTACTATCCCCATCCGAAGTGAAATGAGATATTTGAAGGTGATCGCTGACTTCAGCTGCGCACCGGCGACTATACTCTCCCTCATTACCTATTGGGAAATCTTCTGCAATATTAGCTGTACATAAACCAGCATGGTTTGGGCATGTTACATTTTTGCCTTCACCTCTCAATTTTGAGGCAATTAAGCACAGTTTATTACCAGTGTAAAGAGAGATTATTTTTTTATTTTTTGTCATATTTTCACACATAACTTGGGTGACTTGTGTACCGGCCTGAAAAGGTGTGGTGCCATTACTAAAAATTGGGTTATTATACCTAGCATCAGATTCAACTCGAACCAACTTTTCATTGGATAGACCAAGTATTTTGTTGTCATTTGCCAAATTATTCCTTATATTTTTCATGTCATCTTTATTTACTTTTACCGCAACTTTTGAAACTTTATTTGCACATTTCTGCAAGCCTGATGAAGAAGGGGAGATAATATTGGCTGCATTTAGGATTTCACTGAAATTTTTGTTTGATATTGGTGTATGTATTAGACCAACTTGTGCACCAATGTTAACCTTGGCAGCCCTTCTGCCTCTTTTCAGAGATTCAACTTCTTCATATAATTTATGAAATGCACTTTTGAATCCACATATATTACATTGAAACCTTTCTTGCCATACTAATCCCCATTTTACTTGAGCCTCTGTGTCAAATTTTAAATCACCCTTACAGTCTTGTTTATATAACATGTGATTTTTCATTTCAGTGTTAATCATGTACTGAAGAGCATTCTGTTGAAAAATCTTATATGTGAATTGGTCTGCAGATGACACATTAGCTTTGAGGTATGTATCAACTAATGTCATGTTTTTTGGTTTTGGCCGCAAAAGTTTACAATTTGCCATTGAGTCGTCTGCATTTTGCACTGACAAAACACCATCTAAACACTTATTTACCCTGGATTTATACACATCAGAATCCAGTCTGACATACCTAAAAATTTCACAATTCTTATCAAATTTAATTTTTTTATCAGCATTCCAAGGGACATAACCCTTTTTAAAACCATTTTGAGGTCTTTTTTTATTCCTCTTTCTGCTCATTTTCTATTTAATACAATAAAGTGGACTTTTTATTATATAAATCTACAGAAATATACTGTTATAAGTAAATAGAGTTACTTTGATATCACTAACAACAAATGATTGACTGAAAGGGAACCGTTATTTATGTCACACTCGGGAACGGACCAAAAACTCAAGTTTTACATAAGGACTTATAGAAACTTCTGTGGAGACTGTTAACATTTATGGAGACAGTTCTTTCAGCTAAATCACTTTTATTATTGATTTAATATTACATTTCTTACATTTATTTGGGAAAATAATCACATTTGTTTAATTTTTTAGCCTAAAGATATCAAGTTTTGATGAAAAAAGAAGGAAAAATGGACCAAAACAGACCTTCAAATGAACTAAAAAAGGTGCAATAAAATTGTTTATCATCTTAAAGTTGTCTTTTGTATCCTATTTAATTGTTTGAATGCATAGATGATGAGTATTTAATCAGATATTGGTCAACACTGCATTTTATCATGATACACTGAAATTAGGATATTTCGAAGAAATTCGACTGAAATCGCCGTAGGATATGGCCTTACATTATAGTGATTTTCTCTGAAACTATAGCTCTGACTGAGACAAAACTTGGCAGTTATGCTTGAAATAACTTGCAATTCAAAGGAAAAAAAATACATTAAGTTTATTTGACATTTAGGTGTTCTTTAACTAGCTGTCAGTAACTGCGAGTACTCTCAAATCGTACTTTCTTGTTTATTTGACCTGTTGATACTTATTGTATTGCTTTTTTTGTTATTTAATGTTATTCAGGGTTATATCTGGTCTATATACCAGCTTTGATAAGTGTTTGGTATAACTATAAATTTTCACTTCGTACTATGAACATCAAAATTATTTATTTTGTAATAATATTTCCTTTCTCTGTTGGTACTGTACACGTATACCTAACAACAAAATTATTTTCATTTACCTGTGTTTAAAGTTATTGCAAATGGATGGTATTTTTGTTCGAGCATATTGTTTTTCTTTAATTGTTTAACATTTCTTACCGATATAACATGTTACTTTTATTCTTCTTCCCTTAGTTTATTTATTTTGTATTCAAAATTATTTATTTTGTAAAAATATTTCCTTTCTCTATTGGTACTGTACAGGTATACCTAACAACAAAATTATTTTCATTTACCTGTGTTTAAAGTTATTGCAAATGGATGGTATTTTTGTTCGAGCATATTGTTTTTCTTTAATTGTTTAACATTTCTTACCGATATAACATGTTACTTTTATTATTCTTCCCTTAGTTTATTTATTTTGTATTTACATTGTGTCATAGGTCAAATTTATTTGTTCAGTGTATGTTCAATGGTGTCAATATGTCCTTTGATTGAGTTAAGCTATTTCAGTTGATATTTTATAGTGTGTCTTTCTATGTTGTTATGTTACACTATTGTTTCAGAAAAAGGGTGAAGGTTTGGTACCATTAAAACGTTTAAACCCGCTGCATTTGTTTGCACCTGTCCTAAGTCAGGAATCTGATGTCCAGTAGTTGTCGTTTATTGATGTGGTTCATAAGTGTTTCTCATTTTTTATATAGATTAGACCGTTGGTTTTCCCGTTTGAATGGTTTTACACTAGTAATTTTTTGGGGCCCTTTATAGCTTACTGTTCGGTGTGAGCCAAGGCTCCGTGTTGAAGACCGTACTGTGACCTATAATGGTTTACTTTTATAAATTTTGACTTGGATGGAGAGTTGTCTCATTGGCACTCATACCACATCTTCTTATATCTATCTACACCAGTCCTGTAATTTCATATACTTACACCAAGTCTATTGCATCCAAGATTTTCAACCATAAGAGGGTTTTAGAGGCCTTTAACCTCAAAGATGTGAAATCCAAACCTCCGGATTGCTCATGTGCATTCGATCATGCATTCAGAAGCGCATTCAGAAACTACGATGTACTATGAGCACAAGGGTTTCTAACCCTTCCAAGAACCCGTAGGTTGTGGATGCTTTATCCTCTTTGCATTACAAATATGTCGTTGTTCCAGCAGATAAAGCATCCAATAATATTGTCTTCGTATGTAAAAACCATTATTTGCAATGTCTCACAAAAGAGCTTGGAATAAACAGCACAACTGGTAATCCTATATATTCTTTAACATCATTTACAAAGGATGAAATTTTACAAAATCACAAATCTGTCCTTCTTTCATTTGGTATTAACATCAAAGAAAACGAAGAAAGTCTACCGTCATTATACTGGATCAAAAACTTCACAAAACTCCGTATAATATATTGATGATGTCCTATCACTGAATAACCCATATTTCAGTCAGTACTTGCACCTCATATATCCCACTGAACTTGAAATTAAGGATACTACTGATACAAGAAGGACTGCTTCATACCTTGATCTTTTCCTCAATATTGACACAGATTGGTCGACTTCACACTAAAATCTATGACAAACGGGATGATTTCAACTTCCTAATTATCAATTTCCCATTTCTCAGCAGTAACATACCCTCTGCTCCGTCGTATGGTGTTTACATATCTCAACTGATACGTTATGCTCGTGCATGTTACACACTATACTGACTTCATATACAACAGTGCGCTCCTTACGCAGAAACTGCTCCAACAGAGTTATGAGGATGAAAGATTAAAAATGACACTCCTTAAATTTTATGGACACCATCACGAATTGGTGGATCCATACGATGTGTCTGTGTCTAAACTAACTAATGACATTTTTATCACGGCTTAGATATTTTTTAACATTGTCATATAAGAGGGAGGTTTGGCTAGCCATAAAACCAGGTTCAACCTACCATTTTTTCTTAAAATGTCCTGTACCAAGTCAGGAATATGACAGTTGTTATCAAATAGTTCGTTTCTATGTATGTTGGCGTTTGTTTTTGTTGCACTTTAGATGTGTTTCCCTCGGTTTTAGTTTGTAACCCGGATTTGTTTTCTCTCAATCGATTTATGACTTTTGAACACCGGTAAACTACTGTTGCCTTTATGTTTTAATTGTTCAAAAGCAAGCAACCAAAACATTGGCCATCTACACTGCTGTAGTATGATAACCACAAAAGTACTCATTATTAGAACATCTGGAACAGAAACAAATAAAAGTGTTCATTGAGTCAGTGTACTATACTCAAACCTGTTTGACATAATAATTCTGTGAAAAAATGTTGCACTTTCTTAAAAATGCACTTTTTTATAGCTTATACATGTCCTGACTCTAAACATGCAGAAGATGAAACATGCACTAGAAAAGTTTGTGTGTAGACCTAAAGAAAATCAATAGAAGTAGAGGCAAGGAGTCTTCTCCAGTGGATTTATGGGGACACGAAGACAAACCTTCAAAGACAGAAAAACAGTCCAAAGTGGAACAAAAAATAGTGCAGCTGTTAAAGATCTGTTGCAAAAAAAAAACAGGTATTAAACGAACTAGGTACTGACTCGCTTATTTTCGTTAGAGAAAATAAACAAACCAGTAAAGAACTGAAGACTAAACTTCAGGAAAAAATTCAGGTATTATGCAAAAGACTTTAGTTGTTACGTTTTTGTCTACTTGGAAAACAGCAAGGGCTTACTGAATAAAAGAACAAAGCAGAAAAAGATGGGTTTTCGGACTGGAAACAGTCAAAATACGCATATGTAATAAGTGCAATGAAAACAAACATTGCACTTGTTGAAGAATTCTTAGTTGGAATGATGAATGTAATTAATACACTTTGTCAATTTTGCTCCGTTTTATACAATTCAGAAAGAAATTTTAGATGTGACATCGTGGTAACAATGAGCAAACAAGACAATCTGAAATGCTTGAGGACGATCTCAGAAAACGGATTTATGAAAAAAGCAAGTAGGAAAAATTCACGAAACAACAATCCGATGATTGGTTTAAAATTCGCAGCAAGGCTATATTAGAATATTAGAATAATAGGGATCATAGATAGTTAGTACTTTACTTAATATAATAAAAATAGACAAATTATATTAGAAGTTGCAGTTTGAAAAAGATAATAAAATATTAGAATAATAGGGACCATAGATAGTTAGTACTTTCTTAATATAATTAGAATAGAAAATTCTATTTATAGAAGTTGTAGTTTGAAAAAGATTATAAAATATTTGAAATATTGGGACCATGGATAGTTGGTACTATTTACATTCTACTTTCAGTGTTTTTGTTGTTAGAACCTTGAACATTTACCACAGATGCAACTGTTCTCTAAAAACAAATGGACATTTGCCCTTTTTTACGCCTGTTTATTAACAACATTTGTCTCCACTTCTCTTCAAATCATGTACACTACTGTTCATGTCTTCCTTTCCAGACTCCGCATTTTTCTGTAAATTCAGCAGTTTAGACTCAATGTCTTTATCAGTGTCCAAAACCACAAAACAGTCTTTTAATTCATAGTTCTTTTTCATTTGTGGTGATAATGATAAATAGTTATCTCCCTTTTTATTTGGAGATTTACTTCCTTTGTTGTCATCTGTTAGTCGCAGGCCAACAATTGTGTTAGGTTTAGCTGATAATGATCGCTGTTGAGAAGCATTGATCTTCGAAGGACTGAATGAATGCGATTTTCTATTTGTATAATGAACAAGAGCTTCAATATCATCCATCTGTAAATATGCCTCTTCCTCTAGTTGCCTCCCCTGTATTTCTTCTTTCACAATAGTGATATTACTATCTTCTAGTTCTCTCCAATGGTTTTCTCTATTCACAAAATTTACAATGCCATCTTCAAGTTGCCTTCGTTTGTCTTCTATTTTCACAATATTTACATGACAATCAGCCAGTTGCCTCCCCTGGTCTTCTACTTTCACAATATTTACATGACAATCTGCCAGTTGTCTCCTCTCGTCTCCTCTATTGACAACATTAACAGCATTATCAATATCAAATTCACTGAAATTGCCCCACTGGTCACTATCTTTTAAACCTTTTTGCCTTGCCATTTGCATCAAACCTTTGATAGGTGAACTATTAGGCTCCTTTTTAATGTTGACAATTGTTTCTTTTTGAACTGGAGAACCAGTCTGGGATCCATTAATTTCTGTCATAATCATTTCTGTTTCAATGTCTCTGTACGACCTATTGAACTTCCTTGGACAAATCTCAGAGTTCCTATTAATAATATGGACCAAGGAGTCTATGTCGAAGATGTCAGGATGTTCCGTCTTGATCTGGGATGGATCAAACAGCATGACTACTGATTCTTCTTCCTTTTTCCTTTCCTCCATTCTTTTACTTTTTCTATAAATATCTCTTTCAGAGTTTTTGTTTACATCGGTACTTTCCACGGGAAATGTCGGAGTCATGATACCAGTAATTGAGCTTGTTTCACTGTTTCAGTCGTCCTCAGATAGATATTCTGTATCATCACCTGAAAAAATAAAAATATATTCATTATTGTTTGTATATCAATTAATGATATATCAACTTACATTTGTTTATATATTAAGCCATTTTAACAATCTTTATTTTTTATTCTGCACATTGCCAAACAAAAATTGTGAAAAAAACAGTAAACAGCTAATCTCATCCAACAGATCAATTTTAGGTCACGGTGACAGAGTTTTTAAGAAATTTACCTACAGTGATTGCTATTCTATTAGCTCTGAGGTTGTGAGTTTAACAATGGCAAGGTTAATTGGACTGATGTTAATTGACAAGAATTGCCAATTATCCCGCCCACTGTCTACGGTACCATAACTTTAATTGACAAGGTTTGCCAACTCTCCTGCCCAGTCTGCATGTTCTTTCTTGGTACCGGGGTTCTCAAGCTATCTGCACCAACAGAAAATCATTATGAAACCAAATAGTGGCATAAAAAAACAACAAACAAAATTGTAAGTTCACTCATACAAAATTTTGGCAGATGATGATTTTTATCAAAAAATGATCGTCACCTCTCAATCAAACAATTACCCTAATTTGGACAATGTCTTGCTTTAGGTTTAGCTGACAATGATGGCTGTTGAGAAGCATTGATCTTCGAAGGACTGACTGAATGCGATTTTCTATTTGTATGATGAACAAGAGCTTCAATATCATCCATCTGTAAATATGCCTCTCCCTCTAGTTGCCTCCCCTGTATTTCTCCTTTCACAATAGTGATATTACTATCTTCTAGTTCTCTCCCATGGTTTTCTCTATTCACAAAATTTACAATGCCATCTTCAAGTTGCCTTCCTTGGTTTTCTATTTTCACAATATTTACATGACAGTCAGCCAGTTGCCTCCCCTGGTCTTCTACTTTCACAATATTTACATGACAATCTGCCAGTTGTCTCCTCTCGTCTCCTCTATTGACAACATTAACAACACTATCAATATCAAATTCACTGAAATTGCCCCACATCTTCTAAACCTTTTTGCCTTGCCATTTGCATCAAACCTTTGATAGGTGAACTATTAGGCTCCTTTTTAATGTTGACAACTGTTTCTTTTTGAACTGGGGAACCAGTCTTGGATCCAGTAATTTCTGTCATAATCATTTCTGTTTCAATGTCTCTGTACGACCTATTGAACTTCCTTCGACAAATCTCAGAGTTCCTAATAATAGTATGGACCAAGGAGTCTATGTCGAAGATGTCAGGATGTTCCGTCTTGATCTGGGATGGATCAATCGTCATGACTACTGATTCTTCTTTCGTTTTCCTTTCCTCCATTCTTTTACTTTTTCTATAAATATCTCTTTCAGAGTTTTTGTTTAAATAGGTACTTTCCACGGGAAATGTCGGAGTCATGATACCAGTAATTGAGCTTGTTTCATTGTTTAAGTCATCCTCAGATAGATATTCTGTATCATCACCTGAGAAAATAAAAATATATTTATTATTGTTTGTATATCAATTAATGATATATCAACTTACATTTGTTTATATAGTAAGCCATTTTAAAAATCTTTATTTTTTATTCTGCACATTGCCAAACAAAAATTGTGAAAAAACAGTAAACTGCTAATTTCATCCAACAGATCAATTTTAGGTCACGGTGACAGAGTTTTTAAGAAATTTACCTACAGTGATTGCTATTCTATTAGCTCTGAGGTTGTGAGTTTAACAATGGCAAGGTTAATTGGACTTTGATGTTAATTGACAAGAATTGCCAATTATCCCGCCCACTGTCTATGGTACCATAATTTTAATTGACAAGGTTTGCCAACTCTCCTGCCCAGTCTGCATGTTCTTTCTTGGTACCGGGGTTCTCAAGCTATCTGCACCAACAAAATACCATTATGAAACCAAATAGTGGCATTAAACAACAACAAACAAAATTGTAAGTTCACTCATACAAAATTTTGGCAGATGATGATTTTTATCAAAAAATTATCGTCACCTCTGAATCAAACAATTACCCTAATTTGGACAATGTCTTGTTTTAGGTTTAGCTGACAATGATGGCTGTTGAGAAGCATTGATCTTCGAAGGACTGAATGAATGCGATTTTCTATTTGTATAATGAACAAGAGCTTCAATATCATCCATCTGTAAATATGCCTCTTCCTCTAGTTGCCTCCCCTGTATTTCTTCTTTCACAATAGTGATATTACTATCTTCTAGTTCTCTCCCATGGTTTTCTCTATTCACAAAATTTACAATGCCATCTTCAAGTTGCCTTCCTTGGTCTTCTATTTTCACAAAATTTACATGACAATCAGCCAGTTGCCTCCCCTGGTCTTCTACTTTCACAATATTTACATGACAATCTGCCAGTTGTCTCCTCTCGTCTCCTCTAATGACAACATTAACAGCACTATCAATATCAAATTCACTGAAATTGCCCCACTGGTCACTATCTTCTAAACCTTTTTGCATTGCCATTTGCATCAAACCTTTGATAGGTGAACTATTAGGCTCCTTTTTAATGTTGACAACTGTTTCTTTTTGAACTGGGGAACCAGTCTGGGATCCAGTAATTTCTGTCATAATCATTTCTGTTTCAATGTCTCTGTACGACCTATTGAACTTCCTTGGACAAATCTCAGAGTTCCTATTAATAGTATGAACCAAGGTGTCTATGTCGAATATGTCAGGATGTTCCGTCTTGATCTGGGATGGATCAATCGTCATGACTACTGATTCTTCTTTCTTTTTCCTTTCCTCCATTCTTTTCCTTTTTCTATAAATATCTCTTTCAGAGTTTTTGTTTACATCGGTACTTTTCACGGGAAATGTCGGAGTCATGATACCAGTAATTGAGCTTGTTTCACTGTTTAAGTCATCCTCAGATAGATATTCTGCATCATCACCTGAAAAAATAAAAATATATTTATTATTGTTTGTATATCAATTAATGATATATCAACTTACATTTGTTTATATAGTAAGCCATTTTAAAAATCTTTATTTTTTATTCTGCACATTGCCAAACAAAAATTGTGAAAAAACAGTAAACTGCGAATTTCATCCAACAGATCAATTTTAGGTCACGGTGACAGAGTTTTTTAAGAAATTTACCTACAGTGATTGCTATTCTATTAGCTCTGAGGTTGTGAGTTTAATAATGGCAAGGTTAATTGAACTTTGATGTTAATTGACAAGAATTGCCAATTATCCCGCCCACTGTCTACGGTACCATAATTTTAATTGACAAGGTTTGCCAACTCTCCTGCCCAGTCTGCATGTTCTTTCTTGGTACCGGGGTTCTCAAGCTATCTGCACCAACAAAAAACCATTATGAAACCAAATAGTGGCATTAAACAACAACAACCCAAATTGTAAGTTCACTCATACAAATTTTTGGCAGATGATGATTTTTATCAAAAAATGATCGTCACCTCTCAATCAAACAATTACCCTAATTTGGACAATGTCTTGTTTTAGGTTTAGCTGACAATGATGGCTGTTGAGAAGCATTGATCTTCGAAGGACTGAATGAATGCGATTTTCTAGTTGTATAATGAACAAGAGCTTCAACATCATCCATCTGTAAATATGCCTCTTCC